ATTATTAAATTTTCGTGCCTCTAATTGCAAAGCCCTACCATAATACTCCGTGATACTAAAATATTCTCTTGTACTTTCATTTGAGCTCTTATCCACCCACCTTACCAAGTGTTTGGAAGCCAGTTCTTTCAAATACTGCGTCTCTATCTCCCATGACATCTTCGAATTAAATTCTTTTATTATGACATTTAGCCCACTCAGGATATGATTCCCCTTGTAAAGTAGATTACTTTCTTCTCTTCTTCTACCCAAACGCAATTGGTTGACTATCACATATCGTTGACAGACGAACCTAAGGCCATCATTTTTGGGGTGTGGATTTTGTGCGGGAGAAGGCGGAGGTGATGACGTTGTATGTTGCTTTCGAGGTGGGATGCTGAAAATCGAACTAGCAGGACTCGTGTGATAAGTAGAACTAATGCCTTGTGAACTCTGTGGAGGAGTTTGAGGATGTGTTGGTGATCCAGTGGAAGAACTATAGGAAGCTCGTTTACGTAAATTTATATCGCAATCCATGTCAACCACAGATCTGGGTGGTGAATAACTGACAGGGACGTGTGAAGTTTGTGAGGCACTTTCAAAATCGTCATCATCAATGCTGACACTTCGATGGCGACTATATGGAATTGATTGTGTCCCTTCTGGTATTAAGGGTTTACGATATTGAATTGGTCCAGGAGGTATTGGACGTCGTCCATATCCCGTCGACGATTTAGTAGATAGTGTACGTTTAATTGATTCCTCGTCAGTTGGAATTTCAGAAACAGAAGTGTCAGTATGAAGAGTTGTTGTTGATTCATCATCCATATTGAATAGTGTTTTCGGGGAAACATTTTCATGGACTGACAATAACAGACCAATTTTCGCAGCATCATGATCGTTATCATGCAAAGAAATTTGTTTCACTAAATTCCAAAAATTATTTTTTAAAAAAAAAATTTCATTTGTAAGCTTCCCGAATTGATTTATATCGAATTATCGAAAATTATGTCTTACTTTCATAAGGACCATCCATTAAACGTTTCCATATATGTTCATGACTTCCTTCCGGGCCAAGGTAAATTTTCGTCAAGGCACGCTCATGTTCGGTGTATCGACATTGAATTACCAAGTCGAGAGTAGGTTTTGCAATAATATTCAATGCAATAGGATATACCCATTCCCTTGTTGAGTTCCAGTATCCTTCTGTAGACTGAGTTTCATCATTTAATTTGATTTCCAATGCCCCTCGTCTTCCAGCAAGATTTTTGCTATTGCCATAACATAAAAATTTTTTCCTTGTTTAAAAACATATTTAATTTTGTTTATAATCGATAGTGAAAATAATATTTAATAAC